TATTCCGTTTCGGGTGTCGGCTCCCACCTACCCCGCGGTCCCCTTGGCCCTCCTTCCGCCGCGTCGCGTCAGCGCCTTGCGCCCTGTCCCTTCCCACTTCCTTTCTTCCCTTGCTGCGCATCTCTTATGCTACTGCCGACTTCCCGGCGGCCCTTCTCCGTCCTTCGGGGAGGGAGTCGCCCCTGCTATTCTCTCACAGTCCCTTTGCCGCTTTCTGCTTAGCCCACCCATTTCTAGTCTAGCGGCCCCGACGACTCTGGGCAGCCTCTGGCTTCCTACTGTCCGTGCCCATGTTTCCGCTCTTTCCAGCATTGCTGCCTCCGGTTTTCTCTGTTGTGCACAAATTGACCATATACAGTCTCTCGAGTAACGAGAAGTCATTCGGGACTCACCAGTCGCGACATATTCCCCCCACTCATTCGCGATGTCCTCATCTCGCACCAATCCATGGTCAGTAGGAATTTCGGAGTGACAGATAAATAGGGAAGAGAGGTGGGGTGGGATGGGTAGTTAGCTTGCCAGGGTTCTTTTTGTCTTTCCCACTCTTTTCTCGGGTCCCTTGTCCTTGGGGCGGGGGAGGGTATGGAAGGGTTAAGGTTCTGTTTCGGGTTTCCTTTGAATTGCGTAACGTAATGTCTTTGTAACGAGCGCGTGACACTTTATGTGCATCAACGCCCGTCTCACAACCGTATCTCTTTCTCACTGGAACTCCCAAATACCCAAGAACTTCCCAACAACCTCCGGTATCGTCCCACAAAAGAGAGGACGACGAGCCCATCGCCCTGCCGGTAAGAGGAAGATTTTGGCGGTGAATGTCTCAAGGATCGTTTGCCATGGCTTCCTCCAGGTGCGAGCGAGCAACACGTCCAGGAGCTTATGCAGTTTGGTGTCTCTTTTCCCTCACCAAGTTGACTAGCACCGCCCCTTGGAGGGGTCTGACCACAGACGTGCCCTGCTGCTAGTTTTTCATTGTACGTTATTTCTCGCTCTCGATAATGTCTTGAAGGCTGCATTCGTAATCTCAAATCTATCTTCCCATTTCATTGAGAAACATTCTCGAGCAGAAATCCTTTTTGGTTTCGTCTCGTTCATTACTCTTAGGACATCCACATATTTTCAGTACAATTTTTCCTCTCCCTGAAGTCCAGACATAGCCAAATCCACATGCATTCTTCCCGGGTCATTCCTCCCGGCCTTTCTCAGGTCCTGCCAATTCCACATACATATCGTCCTCTGCCCTTTCTTTGCCCTTTACTTAATTGACTCTTTATGTGCGATGCTTGGTTCACTCCTTTGCCACTTCTCATCTTTTCAAACTTATACGAGTCAATTACACAGCCAACTCTCAGTCTGCCAGATCCTTTCTTAGGTCTACGCAGAATCAATCACACCAGCCCTTTCCTTCCTGGCTATCTTGCCGAGCCATTTTTCTTAAGTTCATGTCATGTCACTTGCTCCCGTCCCTTCTGTCCCAGCCTCTTGTCAGACCCTCTTTTCTCAGGCCCATACAAAGCCAATTACAATATTTTTCTGTTCCGGCCATCTTGACAGGCCCCTTTTTCCCAAGTCCGTGCAAAACCAATTACAAGTCTTATTTTCATGCGTATTCATTGGTAGATGGCACACCTTCCCCCCACTCAAAACGCGATGTCCCCATCGCGCGACTGGTTCTCACTCGGAGGCACGCATACCTTTGGCCCACCAACCGCAAGTCAAGGACACAAGCCCGTCCGCTTCACAAAAGGAAGAGTGATCAGTTCCTTCCCAGCGGACGACGCCTCATCCTTCTACCCGGTCATACTGAGGTTCCTCCCCACATCTGGCAGGCAGGTCCAATCTAAGCCTCCCAGGGCCTTGTCTAGCCGTAAGAGCGTTCCTCGCGAATCGTTCCTCCTGAGTGGTGATTTTCTGGATTCCGGCCTCTTCCTTTCAAGAGAGTTGGGACTCTCAATCATTTCGCGAGTGCAGTAACGAATTCCTCACAATTAGTCCCGAAACGGTTATAATGTTTCGGCAGGGCAGTGTCAATGCCAGTGGTGGTGGCGGACTCCACCCGGTACCTCGTCCAACCTCTCCTCTTGGACAGTGCCGCCCAACTTAGCGCGGGCAGCGGTGGTCCGACCCAAACGGCCATGCCACCACTCTATGACATGGCGTGTAGTTGGAGAGTAGCAAAATAGACTAGATGAGAATGACTTTCCTGCCCATTTGGCTCTCTCGCCCTTTAACGTTTAGGCGTTCAACAGGAGGCGCAGTTGGAACTCCCCGACTAGAGCCCATTGTCGCAGGTGGTTCCGGACGTCCCGCACCGATCCAAGTGATGGGTGCCTAAGTCCTTTAACCCTCATCCTCTTACAAGAGAAACAGGCCGCGCTGAGACTTTTTCCCTCAAGGAGATAGAGGTCTTTGGGGTCGCGGTGCATGCGCCGGTATCCCCCTCTTGCTGAGGCTAAAGACTAGATGAAAGGAGAAATTTCATTTCAAGGCTCTTTCCAAGTCCATTTCCAGTTGCTTAGGGTCCCCTGGTTATGCAATGCCTTTTCCAATGCTCAATTCAATTTCAATGCTCATTCTCATTCCCAGGCTCACTCTCAGTCCAATGCTCAATCTCAGTCTAATGCTCACTGCAATATCTCTTCCAACGCTGAATCCAATATCCTTTTCAAGGCTGAGTCCAATATCTTTTCCAGGGCTGAGTTCTTTCCAATCTCTTTTCCAAGGCTCAACTCTTTTCAATCTCTTTTCCAAGGCTCAACTCTTTCCAATACCATGCATCTCAAGCAGCCATGCAAGGGGACCTCAGTGCCAATTTCAAAGAATGACCTTTGTCAGGGGCCATTCCGAACAACCTGGTTAGGGTTGCTCTTTTCAATTCCAAATCGAACAGCCTGGTTAGGGCCATTCTTATCCATTGCAATCGGAAAGCCTGGTTAGGATCATCCTTATCCATTTCAATTGGACAGCCTGGTTAGGGTCATCCTTGTCCATTTCAATGTTAGCGCCCGAGGGGGTGGGCCTCGAGGACACGAATCCTATCTCGTCTCGGGGGTTAGAAGGCGGCCATCGTCTTCGGTTTTTACGCATGCTTCTTCCTTTTCCCTCATGCCATTTGCCAATCTTACATCCTTCCATACATCCGACTTAGCGTCTAGTGCTCGAATTGGGGCTCGCATCCCCGAGCAGAACTAGCCCGCCCGACCGTTCAACCATTGCAATGGGTGCTGAGTCATTTCAATGTTCCTTCCGCTGGGTGCTGAGTCATTTCAATGTTCCTTCCGCTCTTCCGGCTTCTCATAACATCTCAATGCTCTGGACTTGCCTGGGATAAGTTGGATTAGGCTCCCAGGGAAGAGAATGCCTCTTTACCCATAGGTCCCCTAACCTCTCACAAGAACTTATGCAAAGACTCATTCAATCGTGGACACAAAAATAAAGGGAAAAACTCTCGTCATCAACGTTTCTTTCAATGTCCAGGAGTTCACATGCCCTTGCTCATTTCCTCGAGACAAAATCGATCACCCTGAGTCCCTTTCTTACTACAAATGACTCATGTTTCCCAAAAGGAGCAGGTACTCATACAATGTAGCACTGGTCACCCACCCCCTATTAGTTTCTTCAATCCAAGAAGTAGTTACATCGCAGTCTTTCCAAAAAGAAAACGAGGAGACAAAGTCCGAATGCAAGACAACATTACAGACTCGTCTCATCTAGTTCCCTCTGTTTTTCCCTTACTTTCCCTTAGCCATCCCAACCATCCACAGTTCTATTCTAAGTGCAAAAAGCTCTCGTGCCCATTCCCGAAGAAGCAACGACTTATATGAGGTAGTATTCGTCACCCAGTCCTTAGCCACTTCGAGCTTAGCAGCTGTCTCTAGTTCATTCAGAAAAAAGTTCAAATGCAAAAAAAAGAAAGATGGCAGTTATTGCTGCCTGGTTACCAACCCTTCCCCGATTCCCAGCTATTCCTATCCTGCCTACTGCCCCCTTTTTTACTGTCCCGGTGCCCTGCGCCGAGCCTCCCTCCTTGCACGGTCCTCCATCTCTTGCTCCATTAGCCTCTTTATCGCCTGTAGATGACGAAGCGTTTCTTCTGAGAAGAAAGTTGTTGGGGATATGTCTTCTCCCCTGCTCAACTTTTCCTTGCCCTTCATTGCCCATTGATAGCGTAAAATACTGGACCATTGATCGAACCAATCGCTGAAAGTTGGCCTGAATTCTCTTTTCCATGGGTCCTTTTCTTCCCCTGGGTCCTCCTTTCTTCCCAGATCTTCCCTTGTAGGCGTTGTCACTTCGTCCTCTTCTTTGTCGCTGGTGAGGTCGATAAATTCCACGGGCACGTCCTCCTCCAACCTTGGCATTTTTCCCGGGTTCCTCTCTTCCTTGCTACTAGGGTCACTGTCTGATGACAGTTCTATTGGCTCCCCTTCCCTTAGTGGTGATGGCCCCCTGGTTCCTTGCTTTCTGCCCCCCCTGTTCACAACTAGGTTGTGATCAAACCCCACATACAACTTTCTTTTCCTGGAGCTTGACTCTCCATCTTGCCTTGACGACTGTCCCCTTTCCGGCCCGTTAATTGCGTTGCCGTCATTTACATTTCCGAATTCCATTTTGCCGTTTGCTGTTTGCTCCTTGCCTGGTCCTGTTCATGCATAATAATCACCACAACCCCTCATACACACGCATTCCTTTCCACTTCCGTTTGCGGCTTTGGAGGTTTCCCTAGAACTTTTGCTTGCCCCCATATAGTTGGTAACCTCATTATCCCTTAGAACCCTCGACACATTGTCCCAACACATAGGTGCCCCATGTAGGTCGTCCACATCATCACCCCACAAAAACTATGGTACATTGTTCCAACACATAAATACCTCGTGTAGACAGTCCCCAGCGTTACCCCACAAAAACTATAATATATTGTCCCGTGCTCCCAGACCCGGTCACAGTCAGCCCAGGCAGTCTCCCCACGTTCCACAGAAATTCAAGTCACACAAACGAACAACCCTTGTGGTCATGATCACTTACATAGGGAGGCGGTCCAGGGTCATAGCCAATTGTCTATCTTTCAAGCTGTGACTTCCCCTGTTTTCCTGTCCTGAGCCTCTTGTAGCCACTGTTCCACCGGATCCCTGCTCAAAAATCTGACCAGTCTCTGTCTCGGAAATGACCCTCTTATGCTAGTACCATCGAGATCCTCAAGCTCAAATGTGTTCCGTCCAACCCGCTTGGCGATCCTATAAGGCCCTTTGAATATTTTTCCTAGCTGTTCGGACCATGTGCTTTCAAGAGCCGAGTTCCTAACTAGCACCTTTTCCCCCACCTGGAGTGGCTCCTTCCGAATGTTCTTGACCTGGTCCCATCTTGCCTTATCCCTCATTCGGCTATCCGTCACACGATTGACTACTTCCTCGAGCGCCTCCTCATTTCTGGCAACCTGCTGGCAACGTGCGGTGATTAACTCTTCCGTGCTCAAGTATGGGTCGTCATCTAGCCTGTTCCAGGTAGGGACCAAAGCTTCTATCGGAAAATCGATCTCCCTTCCATACCAGAGTTCTGCTGGAATACTTCCCGTTGTTCTTTTTGGAGTCATGTTCTCGGCGAAGACTGCCTGCTTGAGAAACCGTGACCAACTTCCCAAATTATTTGCTGCCAACTTTGCGATTGTGTTCTTCAAAGTCTGGTGACCCCTTTCTACTGGTGCATTTGCCTCAAGATGGTAGGGCTCGGTGATCTTGATCGGCACACACAGTGTCTTAAGCCTGTTCAACACCTCCTGGTTAACGAATTATGTCCCATTGTCTGCTATAAACCTACGCACGAAGGGGTGCCTTAGGTAAAATCTTCCACCCAGTCGGCCACTTCTTTCCCCGTCTTCTTCTTGAGGGCTATGGCTTCTACATAGCCGCTCAGATTTATCCCTTGCATCCAAGATGTACCTAAACCCATCCGTTGATACGGGCATAACGGCAAGGTCGAGGTGAACAAGGTGTCCGGGTCCCAATACCCGGGTGGGTCTAAGGGGTTCGTAAACTCGTACGATGCTCCTCTCTTGACATATCAGACACGTCTGACAATACGTTGCGACCATGCCTGCCATCCCTGGCCAAAAGTACAGGGGCACGATCTTTGCCAATGTCCCCTTTGACGACCGGTGACCCCCAGCTAGCCCATTATGCATTGCCTGAATTACGTCCAACTGCCTAGACCTCCCACAAATGACGCGTCTAGGCATCATTCGTTCCTCTCTCTTGAACAGGTAGCCGTTTCTTAGGACATACTTTTCTACTTCCTCCCTTGCCTTGGGACTGACTTCCGTGGATTGTTTGTTCCCCACAAGCAGCAGACCGATTTCTTTGAAGACGCCCTCATACATTTGTGTGAGGAAGAATTTCTGTTCATTCTGATCCGTTCCCTGCTCCTCTCGAGTGAGGTTGACTAGGTACTGACACTCCTTCTGCGCCCAGGTTTCGGCCAACATCATTACGGTGTCCCATCCCCCTTCCACGGCCATCGCCATCAACTCATCTCTGACCCCTACTTCTGCTCCCCAGGAGTCCTCCTCTTTACGCCTGACCGTGGTGGCTGGTCCTTCCCTGAGTTCTGCAACTACTGGGGGCGCGCCTTTTTCCAAGGTCTGGATCAACAACTGACCTGTTGTAATTGTTGGGTCTGCCATCTCATTATCCACCACAAGGGCCCTCCTTCATACTCCAGGAAGGCGTCGATTGGTTCCACGTCCTCTACTCATTCTGGCGTGATACATACCCTGCTCAGCCCATCCGCCCTATTTCGAAGCCCTGCGATTCGTTCGACCTTATAAGTCGAATTGCCATATGAAGCCTATCCATCTGTCAATGGTCGTATCTATAGGCTTGTAGTTCTTTAGGGCCCCGACAACGTTGGTGGGATCGATCCTTAGGATAAATCGCCTTCCGAACAGGTATGCCTGGAAGGTCTTAAGACAATGCAGAATCGCTAAGACCTCCTTCTTGAACAGTGAGTACCGTCGCTCTGCCGAATTCGGGGTCCTACTTTCAAATCTGATTGACCTTTCCTTGCCCTCCTCGCTTCTCTGTATCAATACTCCTCCAACTGTCAGCGGTCCCCCATCTGTTTCTAAGATGAAAGGCCGTCCTACCTCGTCATTGAAACAGGGTGCTGCTAGAGTGACCTGATCGGATGACAGGATGTCTTTCAGGGTCTGGGCTGCAGCTTCCCTATCCTCGGTCCAATCCATAGTGTCGCCTTCCCTAATCATTGCGCGGATAGGCTCTGCTATCTTTGCGAATCCTTTGATGAAGATCCTCCAGAACCCAACCACCCCTAGGAAGGCTCGTACTTCCGTCGTGGTGCGCAGGGGTGTCGGCCACTGGGAGATCTTATCCATCTTTGTTGGGTCGGGTCTCCTCCCATAAGCTCCACAGCGAAATCCGAGTATGGTTACTTCCGGGACGGTCAGGATGCTCTTGGAACCGCTTGCAGTAATATTGTAAACAAGGAAGCGCTGAAATAGGTCCTCAATATCCTGCAGGTGGTCCCAAACAAACTTTCGTACGCCCGGCTCAAGCTCCGTCTCGTCCTTGTACCTTGCGCTTTTTACGGGATTATCATCTATGTATGGTTCACACTTTTCCGAAAACATATCCCCTCCGACGGCGAGCATCCTTCTCAGCGCCTCTGCTACCGCATTTGTAAAGCCCATAGGGGTCACTTGCATCTGCAGCTGCCCTACGGAGGTGTGCATTGCGGTGTACGGTCTATCCCTCGCATCGAGCGGCAACTGATCATATCTTGAGTACAAGTCTACCAGGGAGTAAATACTCCGCCCCGCATGAGATTCTGCCAACAAGTCGGTCTGTGGAAGCGAGCCTACGTCCCTAATTGTTACCACATTGAGCTTCTGCCGGTCCTGGATCCACCTAAGCGTCTTATTGGGCTTCCTGAACACGAACCACTTGTTCGCGTAGGGGGATGCGGTAGGTTCAACCACGAAAGAATCTATCTTAGCTCTAAGCAGGTCGGTGACCTCCGCTGCTATCCCAAACTCATAGGCGGACCCTTTATCATTCCAACACTCGTGCTGTACGGTGTGGATCCTGACAGGGGGAACTAGCTTTGCGTCCAATCGCCCTTTTTGATGACCATTGAAAGCGAAAGCTAAATGAAACTCCTGGCATGCCTTTCTTATCAACTGAGTTTCTTTCGCTATTAGAAACCCTTCCACTCCTATTTTCATGGTATATGCTACCTCATCTGGTATGCGATGCCCTTCTGTTGCGCGTCTCTCCTTTATAACCCGTAGGATCTCCTCCTCTTTCTCCATGGCCTCTTCCTTTGATGTTTCTACTACGATCAAGACCGGCTTGGCCTTCTTTCCTATGGGTTTGTATTTTCGCACACTGCCTTCTGGGATCGTTCTCCTAGAAAATGAACGGTCGGGATTGGCCTTGCTATTTTCATGATACGGGGCTGAATGCTAACTATCTTCTCATTCATGCAGTAGCCTTTTCGAACCTCATCCTCAAACTTGGCAAGCACTGCCGGGTCCACCCCCACTTTGTGGTACCTGATTGCCTTAACAAGTTGCAACAGGTCTGGGATCTCGAGCGCTACCTCAGAGGTCTCGTTACGGCCTTCCTTAGTCTTGGGCAGGCTGGCCCCAAGTTCAACTTCCTGCTCCTTTTCCGCCACCATAACTCCCAGGGACTCGTCCTCAGACCTTCTCTTCTTTACGGGCAGACCCATCTTGATCCATTCCTGTTTACTAAAAGCCTCCTCGATCATAATTTCTACCTTTTCCCTCATGCCTTCTATTCGTGCGAATACCCCCTTCCGCGAACTTTCTTCGAATGTTGGAGACCAGGTTGCCAATTTGCCCTTCGGAGGGTCTCCTCCGGTCCCAAGAAGTCGGAGGAGTTCCCCGCGGCCAGTCACTGGATCCTCTATGTCTACCATGTATGTGCCGTCGTGCAGATGCATTCCTATCATTTCCACATTGACGCACCACGGTCTCCCGAGGATTACGTCGTGATCCATTTCTTCCATCACGGTCATCCGCTGAAAGGACCAGATGGATTCCCAGATTCCCGCCCTGACTGCACATTTGGTGACATACCGTGTGAAAGGAATTTCGCCACCTCCTCCCCGGATACTCCCTGCTACTTCCTTGTTTACCGTGCACCCCGTGACCGTTGCGAAATCTCGTCGTATGAGGGTGATTTTTGCTCCGCCGTCCACTAACGCGTCAGTGTGGTGAGTTCCGATTTGAACATTAAGTTTCCCAACTGGTAATGCATGAAAGCTAAGCTTTGTCCCGGGTGGCGCCCTCATGACTTCGCCACCTTCACGATCCGGTAGGCTTAGGCGGATGTCCGCAAAGGCTTTCTCCAAATCTCCCAGGCCCCCTGGAATGCTTTGGAGGTTGGAGACTCCTTGCGGCGTCTCGGCCTCTTCCGTGTCCTGCTCTTGCAGTTTCGGGGCCTCCTCTACCTCTACGCGCTTACGTGTTAGCAACTGCCTGAGTCCTTTAAGCAGCCTTGGGGTGGCTTGCAGCATGGTCTGAAAGGACACCGATACCATGGTACCCAGTAGCTTACTTAAGGTGCCATCGATTTCTGGCGAAGTCGAGATCGGAATTTGATACCTGAACTTCTTCTTTGTCGCCGTAGCCTTGTCTACCGATTCGTCCTCCCTTGGCTTCCCATAGACCTTCTCTTGTTCCCGGCTTCGGTCTCTTGTTGGCCCGTGCTAGTCCCTGCGAGTTCTTCCATTACTGTATCTTGAATGAGCTTCTTTTCTGCGTCGGCCTGACGAGTGGTAATATTTACCCTATCCTGGCCATTGCCTTCTAGGATAAAATTGGCCTGTGGTCCCCGTCCCCTTGGCTTGTCCCAGACAATCTCGGCGATCGTCTCTGCTTCTACGACAACTATTTCTAAGTTATTCAGGAGGATGACGACTCGCCGCATCCCTCCTGACAAGTTCCAATTGACACGCTCCCCCCTGGGTCCGAGGATCTCGCCTTTGAGGGACCTACTGCACCTCAGCCGCTCGATATCGTGATTGAGTCTCGGACAGGCCCATACGAAATGCCCGATCATGGTGCAATACTTGCATTGTTCGTTGGCCGGGTCCCTCCTGCCAAACCCCCGGTTTGCTACAGCTGCTGAAACCACGGCCTCTTGGGGCGGGAGGGCGGGTCTGGATACTTGCGTCTGCATTACTAACAGCGCATTCTCCATTCTGTCCATCTTGCTGTCAACCCCGTGCACCCGTTCGTGCAGGCTCTCTATCCCCTTCTTGACCTTATCCCCCGTCTTCCCGGTCAGATCTATGACCTCCCCTTCCTTAAGCAGGGCTAGCGTCTCGGTGACCACTGTCTTTTCCGCAAGGTCTGTTACGGTGCTGAAGTCTGCATCTCTCGTGTATTCGAACTTACTGGCCTGCTGGTATGCTGACAAAATCTTATCTTTATCAAACTCTGAAAACTACCTGAGGAATTATTTACTCATTATGCGGTCCGTTACCCCGGGAATTCGCAGAGCCACTAACGTGAATGCCCTTAGGAAATCGTTGTAAGTCGCATAGTTTTTCCTCTGGACTGAGGCTAATTCGGCCTTTGTTGCCATTTTTTATGCCTTCAGGTATTTCCGCATCATCTCGTTTTTGGTTTCTTTCCAGGATCCACTGGAGGCGACGATGGTCATAATGTCCCTTCCCAAGCTTAGCGACACGTGCTGCCCTAGGTGCTCCATCTTTTCCTCTTCCGTCCCTTTAAGTAAGGCTGCTAGGTTCTCATACTCTATTAGAAACTCCGTAATGTTGGCCCCATCGAACGTGAGTTTCTTCTTTGCATCTGCGAGATACCCCTGGTTCTTGTTTAGTGTCCTGGTGAGGGTTGCGACTACCCTCTTGAGACCATCTTCGGAGCCACCCGCTTCTCCGACCGCACTGGTCCCTTCCCCTTCCTTGCTTTCCCTCTGCTTCTCCCTGGTTTTCGGCGTTCCTTCTGGGTCGAACCATCCTAGCACTCTTTCCCTAAGGTTCCGGAGTCCGTCACACGCCCCTGTTACTTTCGGCGTGACGGGTAGTCTGCTAGTGCCGCTGTCGATGGGGGGTGGGGTCATAGCGTTTTTCGTCTCCTCCATCGGGAGGTCGTTATTGTCCTTCCCCTTCTTACAAGGCGTTCCTTTGTGGCCATTAACCTTCCCCTCATACCTAGCCTCGTCTTGACCGGTCCTGCGTCCCTCACGTGACCCTGCGCCCTGGGGGTCCTCCTCATCCTCGGCCATCATCTGCTCGATAAGCCTTGCCTTAAATTCTGCAGTCTGCTTTTCTATTTCTGCCAATTTACGAGTGGCGTCCGAGACTTTTGTCTTTTTAGGGGTGGCTCCTGTTGGGTTCCGAGGGTTTGTTCTCATATCGTTTCCCCTTCCCTGTTTTCCTGAGGTCCCCTTTTGCTACCCCCAGCTTTCCCCGAACTTTCTCCAATTGAGGCGTCCTTTCCGTCTTCTCGGGTTCCTTCCAGTTTGGCTGACTCTCGATCCCTGTCTGATCCCTCGTTTCGTTCCCCATCCCCATTCGTGCCCTGATTCCCTCCACTCTGCTGGTCATCGATCCCTTCCTCAGTCGCCATTTCTTTACCTAGCCTGCACATGGAAAAAAAAATTGCGAACATGGCCGGTTGTTCATAACTGCCCTAGTCCCGGCCCTAAAGTACACTTATCCCCATATTTTTGCGTCTAACATTAATCCGTACGACTCTTCTGACTTTTTTTTTCTCCCGGGGCGTCCTTCAGGTTTTCTTCTAGTGGGGCCTTGCCACCACCACTTGGCATTTTATTACTGCCGCGCTTTGATTCTTAGAGCGGTGCCTGAGCCCAGTGGCTTCCCTATCGGGGATGACCCTTTTGGCTTATTGGCATCCAGACGCCCCATAATTTTTGGAGCGGTGGTCTTCCTAGTTCCTCCCTGCCACATCATTGGGTCGGTCGGAACTCCAACCACTGTCCCTCTTTTGTTGATGGCTGCCTACTTATCTTAGTACCCATCCTTTATTTCCTTACCACTCCCTGACACGTTTTCTCATGCTGGTCCCTCAGGCCTGCCCTGCTCATCCGGTTCCTCGAACAGGTCAGCCAACCCAGCAAGGTAATTTTCCCCCATCTCTATTTCCCTGATACTTATTGGCTCATATTCTTCAAATGGCAGGTGGGGCAATCCGAATATCAAGATCTCGAGTAATTCGAGTAGTTCCCTAGCCTGATTCCCCCAGAACGGCCCATGTCTGACCGACACATCGTAGAACATGCTCGTTGTTTGTGGTTGGAAGAGGTGGATCCAGACCAGGGTCGAATCCACTATGTCCTCAGCTCTCTTGAGGCTTCCGAATACTAAGTCCACCATGAAACGAGGTACTCGACACCTCAACCTGGTCATTGGGGCCTTAAACTCTTGCCAGCCTCCGACCTCCACCCGAGTTCTTAATCCCACGTTCCTTCTCCCTCGCACTTCCTGGCCTACTCGGTTCAGTACCCTGGTAGCCCTTTGAAAGATTGGTAACAACCCATGTCGTAGTGCCAGTTTCGTACCTAGCATGTACCATCCAAGTTTCGGTAGGTATATGGTCCCCGTTACCCTAAGATCGGTATACAGATCATCTCCTGGCCCCCTGTTAATTCTCATACCATCCCACAAACATTCCACCATCATGAACGCCTGACCTCTTCCCAGGGTCACGGCCCTCCATTCAATGTCCAATCCTCATGTAGCTTGCTAGGAGCGATACCTCTCATCCGCCTCCACTTTCCGTGGGTGGCCGCGGGTGTGTGGACCGTCCCAGCATCCGGGCGAGCCCCATCGCCATTTTTGACTTAGTAGTCCCCTGCACAGTTTAAACAGCAAGCGGTTTTACTTATTTCATTTAATCTTCATCTCCCGCCCGGACGCTCCCTGGTTTCTAGCTTGAATCTTCCTTTTCTTTCCTTGACCTCTTTTATTGGTCCGTCCCTACGTCCATCGGCTCATACAGATGGTACAGATCATCTATGTACACCATCCCCTGACTTATTTCCTGTCGGATGACACCCCACAGGACCTCACTTCCCACGACCGAAGCCCTCAGTCTGGTGCTAAACAAAGCACGCAGGATGCGCTACACCTCGTACTTCTGCTCTCCACTGAACGGGCCTTTTCTAGGAAGGCCCGATAGTATTCTCGATGTACCATCGCATCTTCATATGTCAGGCTTGCGAGGTCGGCTACCGCTCGTCTAACAAGTCCTAGACCGCCCAGCCTTTCAAGCAGGAAGGGCGGCAGCCTCATTCGTACATTTTCACTAGGCAATTCGAAACTCCCGACCATGGCTACCCTAAGGTCCGTTGTTACATCGTCAACTCCCGGATCTGCGAACTCGAACCCTGCTCGCCATACTAACTGCCATGCCCCTTCAAACATGCTCAGCGGGTCTTCTCCTGATGCCAGCCGAACTCCGAACTCCTTCCACCCATCCTCTGACACATACAACCGTCCTTCTACACGCACATGCCCTCACGGGTCCGGGTTCCATTCCCCATTTTCATCCGCACGCCACTCAACTTTCGTCACCAAGTAAACCATATTTTCCGCAAGCTCGACCCCGACCCAATCTTCCACCTCGTGCCAGCCTCCACTTGCCGCCGGCAAGCTAACCTCTACCCCACCCGGTACTTCCCTAGGCGGTTCAATGCCCAAGGGGCGTTCCTCAATGAACGTCCTTCTTCGCGCCATCGTACACTCGCCTTTGATTTCCTGGTTCGTGATCCGCACTGAACCCTACAATGGCCAGACATCCCATCCCTTTATCTTAGCAATTTTTCCCATATTTGTCTGGCCCCACGGCTTTCCCGCGTTTAGTCGAACCATAGTACCTCAAACAATTTGAACACATCATCCACATAGCAAGGTGTTGCCGCTACCTCACGGCGGATTATGGCCTCCCTAGTTTCCGGGGCCACCTCCTGTCGGTCATTCCTCTCAATTTCCAAAATGATAAGAACCTCTCGGGCTCTATCGCCGTGGAAGGGTCCGAATTTCAAGGACATCCTATAGAATTCCTCTGCCAGCAATGCGCAGTTCACGTGTATTCATTCCATCGTGTCGGCTACCTTTGTTACGTGATAAAAACCCCCAAACCAGTCCGCCACGAACTCGGGCACCCAAATCTTGGTTCGGGTGCTAGGCGGTTTAAACTCCTTCCATCCTCCCATCACGACTCTACTGTTGACCGTATCTCAACCTTTGTTAGCAAACCTTTCCCCCGCCTGCCGAGGTCTTGCCTCAGTGTCCCCTAAAAACCACATCGAGTCTTGTCATGCCGCGAGCGTTGTGCAGAACAGGTGCCAACCTTGTTCAGAGAGAACGATCGTCCCGACTGATTCCACCCTTCCTTCCGCCATCTCCTCCCATCCTTCCTCTTCCCTCAACGGGTTCCAGACAAGCTCTATCCATAGGTACGATAGCTCCGACACGATCTCATACCCCCGCCAATCACATGTGGTCCCCTTCCATTTATAGCTCGGCAGTATTGACATCTCTACTCCCCTTCCGGTTCGTCTTGGTTCCC